CTTGGTTAACACCAAATCAAATGAAACAACTTAATGCAGTGGTTAACACCTTGGTTAACACCAAATCAAATGAAAAAACTAATGCAGTGGCTACTTTTCCATCTATCATAGTAACATCCACTATGTGAAGAACAGTTAAGTTTTCATACTTGGGCACATCAGTTGTAGTCAAGTTTTCAATAGCATTTTTAAGAAAAGTAAAGCATTCATTACATCAATGAATCCTGTCAATTTAAGTCGTACAAAGCAGGAAAGAAACAAAATTGCTTCTTGGACAAAGCTTCTGTTTTCCAGCTCGTCAGTAACTTGTATATAAATTTTTTGTCCAGTTGACATATCAAAACTTTATGATATAATCTTTGAGCGCAAAATTAGCCTATCAAAAACAAACGAGTTAATAACATCATGTTGTACTTTCAACAGCTGTATGGTCTACTACTGCTTGGAAATTGATATTTGCAGAGTAATCTGTTGCTGTCCATGATTCACGACTAGGCAAACACCTCTCTTTTGCCTCACGTACATCATTGTATGGTGGATATAAATTACTTTTTTTGCTTATCGCATTGTTTCTTAAGCGCTGATATTGAGATTTGCTTATCACTTTATCTAACAAAAAAGCAACGCTTCTTCAGATGTATTATCAATCATATATATTCTGAAAATAAATTTTCAAGGCTATTTACAAATAGTATTGAAATACTAATCTCAAGTAAATACCTGAAGAAAAAAAAATTTATATATATACAATTAATCTTAATAATAATAATAGCAATAATAATAATAATAATAATAACAATAGCAATAAAGTAATTATAATAATTTAAATAATCGGTATTTTCCTCAGCAATCATTTTTACATGCAAAGTTACAGTTACAAACAGTAATAAACTGACAAAACGTAACAACTAACGATGACATAAAAACGACTACTGCTAAAAAAAATTTAAAGATTTAGTAAATATATTAATATAATCATAGTTGTAAAAATATAATAATCAAAATATATTGCAAATATTATGACCAAATAAATAAATATAATATAAACAGAAAAACACTGAGAAAATCAAAACAAAACAAGTTACAGCAATCATTACGAAACAAAACAAAAAACTATGCAAAATAAACAAAACAAACAACAACAACAAAAAAACTTAAAATTAAAAAAGATAATAACAATAAACGGTAGAATTAAACATATATAATAAATGCCTAAAAATGAAAATAAAAACAAACAAAGTGATATCAGAGTGATTTAGTTCAGCATCTTTGTTATCAGCCAACTTTATTGCTATCTGTGCATCTTTTCTTCTACCTTCCTTCCACAGGTGTGTGCCACTAGCAAACAATAGCTCACAAGAATTTGAAGCTGACAAAGTTGCAACTTTTCTTTGTTTTTGAAGATGAATCTTTAAATGGTAATGTAGGTCTTCCGTGTTGTTTATTTTTACTCTCCTTCATTAATGTGGTATTAAAATCATTTTCAAGCCAAGATAAATTCTTCCTAATAAACTTTGCATCGGTTCGTTTACTTCGAGTCCATCTCTTACCATAATCAGAAATAAATAAACGAAATTGACTCTCAAACTTTTCGCCTTGAAACTTCAAATCATGTTCTTTAATAAAGTTGTAAACATGTATACTATCTTCTTTTTTATGTATTGACAGACTTTTAAGTCTAATAAACTGGTGATTTCGTTTCTTGTGACACTCATTAAGTCTAAATAAAAACAGAAGTTCAACATCTAAAATAAGTAACCCCATCCAAACCAATTAAAATAGATTATTAAATCTGTTTGGTTTGACAAGTTTAAATAATAAGAACAAAATTTAAATTACAATATATATACAGGGCCATCCCAAAGGGGGGTTGTAGGGGGTTGTCCCCCATCCCTCCAAAGCTGTCATATAAGCAATTGAGTTGGCACATTGAGCAAGTTTTGAACTGTAGTTGGCTAATTACATATGTTGAGGACCTTTTTTTTTTTGGGGGGGGGGGGATCTCTAGTAGGCAAAAAAATACATTCTACTTTAACCACATCATTAGTATATTCATTAAAATTTTAAGTGTATATAAACGGTTTTAAATTGTTTTATAATATCTATATAATGGTTTAAAACCATTATGACATTAAATTTTGGACTTTGGTTTTTATACTTTTGTCCAGTCACTTCCCACTGTGTGATGATTGCCAATAGGCATGAAACTTTAAGTTCCAATAAAAGTTGTTTTTTCTAATTTTAAGTATATATATAAATATATATATATAAATAAATATATATATATATATATATATATATATATATATATATATATATATATATATATATATATATATATATATATATATATATATATATATATATATATATATATATATATTTGTGTGTGTGTGTGTATATATATAGGGTAAAGTAGTCAAATAACGCGACCCTTTTATATTTAATTGATTATTATTATGTAAACTCTACATTTTTGAAAAAAATCTTTTTTTGATTAGGTAGTATGATTGTTTACCCCTAGAAATATAATAGATTTATTGCTTAAACCTAAAATAATTTCAAGGAAATATCATTCTTTTTAAAATGGTACTAATGGCAATATAAGTCTCATATGCATCCAATATCACTACCCACACTTTTTTTATATTTCGTAATTCATAACGCAGATTACATTAAAGAAACAAATAAAAAATAAATCATCCATAAAATTGTTTGTTTAACTTTTTATTATAAATCTAACTGTTTAGTCACTTTCGCTACTTGATGTACAACCTACTTTATGTACACCCTACTTTGCACAAAGTGCATAGGACACTTTTTATGATGCTTCCTGTGTCATAGTGCTCATGGTACCAAGTTTTGCATCCGACACATTGAATCCAATCATCTTTTTTTCTTTTGTTGTTGTAAAAAAGTCTGCAATCACCTCAAAACGTATCTTTGTCATTCTTACTTCTTTTTTTCAATGATTTCGAGTTTTTTTTTAATTGTGTTTCGTGGCCATTTTTGTTTGACTTGGCCTGGGCGTAACAGTTATTTTATTTGCAACTAAATGTTGATTGACAACAACAGCTTGCACATTTAATGATATTCTAGTTTTAATTTTCTAATTATTTTAGGTGATGGAATTATTGAATGGATACTAGATGCAGGGTCTGAAGATCTAGGTTCCAAAGTACTAAACTTGTCAACATCAGGAATATTTGACGTTTATGCGATTAGAAATTTCATTGGGTGCAAAAGCTACTTGGGGGATATTATTAGGGTTGAAAAGATAGATTCATGTTGATCTGAATCCTAATATGGCATTTGTTGGTGTAGCGGTACATAACCATGCTTCAACAAATAATAATGGAAATTGCAGTTTTGACAGTGATTGTCCAAGAAAGTTTCTTTGGAAATTATCAATAAAAATATTTCATTAAGTTTTTAATGGTTTGAAAATGCTTTTGTCCAGAGGTTGAAGTTCGTGACTACAAAGCCCTGGAAGACAAAGCATATGAATGTTTAACTTTTCGGCTTCCTCTATTACATCAATATCCAAATGATTAGAATGTCCGTTGAAAATCAACAAAGCTTTTTCTGGTAATCGGTACTGGTTAAAATGACGCAAAAAAGTACAAAATTCTTCCTTAGTAATATATCCTTTTGGAGTCATGCGAAAAATACTTCCAGGTGGCATATTATCCCTGTACTCATGTTTCAAATTTTTTCATTTATACAAAATCATAGGTGGAATCCAATTGGTTCCAGTAGCATTTGTACATGCAACTACAGTAACAGTTTCTTCTCTATCTGCATGAGTAGCTGTGTGTACACTGTTCTTTTTTTTTGCCATTACTACATGAGTGCCAGTCATTGTTAATTGCAATTCAGATTCATTGACATTGTAAATCAATTCAGGATGGTGTGCCAAATTTAGTTTTTTCTATACTTTATCAACAAGATTGTAAAAGTTTTGAATAGTTTTAGCATTGAATTGCATTAGCCTACCATAACTCAAACTTTCAGATTTCCTAGGAGTAACATTAAGACGGCACCTGAGAAATCCTGCAAGCCAATCTTTGCCTGGAATTATTTATTTTATTAGTAGTAGTTTAAAAATATATAGAAAACTGATTTTGATTAATTTTTTTAAATTCGAATATAAAATAAAAATTAAAAACTATTAAAATAAGTACCAGTAATTTCATTCTTAAAATGATGTGGCAGATTTCTTTGAGTACATATTTCATATGCATATTTTCTAAGTTTTATTCTTGTTATACCAAATCCTTATTCTTGAAGACGAAATGCTCTTTGCTTCAACTCAGATTCTACTGTTTCGGGAATAATGCACTTTCGACCTAGTTTACGTTTTGGTGATCCTTTCTCATAAACCTCTGAGAGTTCTTTGAGAAATATTATAATCTCGCGATGCTGCCGCTACTGGATTTCTAGTTCTAACAAAATATAGTGCCTTTTTCAAATTCTTTATTTTCCATTTTGCTCTAATAGTTATTTTTTTAGGTTTAGTCATTCTAAAAAAAACAAAAATAGTATTTGACAAATTTTTTTAAATAATCGAAAAATTAAAATTGCATTTGTCAAGTGACAACGAAAAAAGCATTTATAAACATCTTAAAGTTTAAAACAATAAAAAAATGAGTTTGTGAAAAGAAAACAATAAAAAAAGTACATTTAAAAGGAAAAGGTATTCCCTAAACAGTCATTTTTGCATTAACTGATGCAATTATCGCAGCAACTTAAATAATATTTTTAAAGAATTTTAAATTTTACGTTTTTTGTTTCATTTTTTTAAACTATATATATATATATATATATATATATATATATATATATATATATATATATATATATATATATATATATATATATATATATATATATATATATATATATATATATAATTTTGTTTGTTTTATTTACTTTTTAGGAAAATTCTAGCAATGTTGTTTTAGATTTATAATATGAATTACGTATTTATATTTTTTTAGCATGCAATGAACTATATAACGTGATTAAACCTTTTGAAGATGAGCTTATTTCCATTACAATATCTTGTAAAGAAAGCACCAATTTTGACATCACGAATAATTCTTTAGAATTATTAAAATCGATATCTAGTGTATCAACAGCTCACTTAAACAGTAGCAAAGAAATTTAGTTCTGCAAATTATAGCAAAGAAATTTCTGTAATCTTCAGTTAAGGTTTTATCTGAGCTTAATGGACGAATGTGTTTTAATTATTAACTTAATGAAAACTTTTGGTATTTTTTACTCGTAATTTATTTCAAACTTTTGGATTGTTGAATTTTTAAGTCATCAAGTATAAAAATTACGTAAGTACAGAATCTATTAATAAACAGGAAAAAAAAAATCCTTATACTTTTTTAAATAGGATAAGTTAATGTGTTTTCGTTCTTTATTTTAAGTCACTTTTACTTAGAGTAATAGAGTTTTTATTCTGAATCATATGGTAATGTTTTCATTTTATTAAAGTCATTTAAAAAAAGATAATATTTCTACTTAAGTCGATCAATAATTAGTAAATAATAATCGATTATTTTTGGCAAGAAGTAGCCAGTGTTTACTTCCTTGATTAAGTGTTTACTTTCTTGATTTTTTTTATTAAACTATTTATATTAAAAGAACGCCATTTCTCTCTTTTAATATGCTAATAAAGGGTGTTACCCTGATAATAAAGGGTGTTCCAAAATTAATGCAAGATTTGAATTAAATAGAAAACACAGTTTTTAATCTTTTGATTGTCACGGTCGTTTAGATGTGGAAAGTTATTATACACAAGCGCAGTGTCAAATTCAAATATTATAATTTTAAAGATGGTGACGGCCTTTAGATACAAAAATTTTTCTGAGTAGCAACAACATCTTTAAAGTTTTATTTAGTAGTTATTATTTGCATATTTTTGATAGAATGAAATAATAATAAAGATAATTGAATTGTTGATTCAAAAATGATAAAAGCAATATAAAGATGTTTTAGTATATTAAAAACTGTGATTCTCTGCTACATTTATCTGACTGTTAAAAGCGTGATTTGTTTACATTTTCAAAGCTCTTTTTCTAAAAATCTGAGCGATACAATTTAATAATTTTTACTTTTTTATTTCGAATAGTCTTATCTTTTGTGAATAGTCTTATCTTGATTTGAAATTTCAGATCTGAGTATTCAATTTTTTTCTGAACAAAAATAGAGTTCACCCAACACTACTTTTGTAGGTGTATGATACATTTATATTAATGTATATAGCTAAAAAATATGTATATACATAAGTATATGTGAATGATTATAATGCAAAAAAAAAAGGCTAAAAAGTTCACAAGTTACTTATAAAGTATGTAAGATAAAATATTTATATATAAGTTAAATATAAATTTACTATGATACATAGTTTATATACTATGTGATTTGTTTGCATTTAATTTATATTTGTTTTTATAATATGGGTAAAATAAACTATATTATATAATTTTTTTAATATATCATAATCATTTAACTATATATTATATACAAAATTGTATCCAATAAATTTGTGTGCATGTTATATTACAACACGATTACAACAATTGTATGCAAACACATTTAATGCATACAAATCAAACTCTGAAAAATAATAAAAAATAATAAAAATAATAATATATGTCCAAGAATAGTATACTATGTAATACAATACAGTATATATATATATATATATATATATATATATATATATATATATATATATATATATATATATATATATATATATATATATATATATATATATATATATATATATATATATATATATATATATATATATATAAAATATACACTATTGGCCATTAATTAGAGCATACTTACTTATATATCCTGTTTGCTTAAAATTAATTTAAAAACTAGTTAGCTTTTTAAATATTTTATTATTTCTAATTAATAAGTATTGTGTTTTTTATTTAATGGACAAGTTGTTACCATAAAATTTCATTTGTATCTCTAATTATATATAACTTTATAACATTGACTATATTTTTTTAACTTTTTTTTGTTCGTCAAAAATTAATGTTTACTGCTTTATTTTTAAAATTAATGTATTATATTAATGATTTTTTTTTATAATTTAATTTGATTTTCATTAGCATTTTTTAACTCTAACTTTCTAATTTTGAAATAGTACTGATGAAAACACAAATAAATTAGATATTAAAAAAGCCTCATAATGAGTGAAGTAATACAGTATTAAACTCCAAAATCATGGTTGAGGTTCTCTTAAAAAACATGTTACTATCTCCTCGTCAAATAGCCAATAAGTTAAATATTGGATATTCAGTTATTGCACATATTTGAAAACCTTATACTGAAACAGATGACATTATGGATCTGGATAATCTGGTGGGCAACACAATAAGATAAATGTTTATTAATTATAAATGGTGAAATGTTATATTCTCAGACAAAATGAATGTTGAGGTAGATATGCAAGAATATGTTATTGCTTCGAGTTCTGCTATGGCGATCACCTCAAGAGTAATTTGATTTGAATTGTACATGAAAACCAACCAAGGTAATGGCAGTGTAGACTTTTGGGCCTACATGAATTATGCAGGACTTAAATGCAATTGATTATTTGAAGGTTGACTTAATGCTGATAGAAACATTGAAATTTTAGATAATTGCCTACTTCAATCCTTATTTGAGAAAGGTGGTTCTGCAAAATATTGAAATGCTTTTTTTTATGGTTTTTCTTTTGTAAATTATTGATTTAATAAATTATTTGAAATATATACTTAACTTTTGTCCAATATTTTTTTTCATTAAAATAAAATGTTTCATTATTATTTTTTTTTTTTTTTTTGTATCTAAATCAATGTTTAGATCTTTTTTTGGATTTTCATAATGCATATAGATTTTACTTATAATATTAAAAAATAAAAATAAAAGCATTTTAGTTTTTGATTTAGTTTATTTTGAATTTAATGTTTTATAAAAAAAATTGTGACAAAAACAATGTGTGCTCTAATTTAAGGCCTAAAAAGTCTTACCTACCCCAAAAAACTAATTTAACGTCATGTTCTGGACATATATATATACATATATATATTAGGCACCTGCTAAGCTTAAATATTTTGAATCAAATCAAAAAAGTGATTCAAGACTAGACTCAAAAATCTCTATTTATTTGAATCAAATTAACCTGCTTTTATTAATAGTTTATAATGAATTAAACTCAAGGTCATATCATTATAAATTTTCACAAACTTGAGTAATAACATTATTAGAATGTTATTACTCTAATAACATGTAGTTGTCTTAGAAAGTTCAAAAAAATTAAAAAAAACTAAATTTAATTTTGGTCATGCTTAATTATGGTCAAGTCAAATCTAAATTATTTGCAAAAGATTTCATGAATTGTGGACAAAAGTTCCCCTACAAGCTAACTGCCTCTGCAAAAACATGATGACAATGACTTGATAAAATACTTAGTTTCTCTATCTTATACTAAATATACTTCAGTTTTTCAATTTAATTTAATTGTATTATAGTGCCTAAAAGTTATGACCATATAAAATTAACAGCCCCCTCGATTTGATCAAACTTTGCTCATTTAAATACTAAAAAAATATTGTAAGGTATTTTATTAATTATTATAGTTATAAATAGTTAGAAAGGAAAAAACTTTTAAAATTAGAGACTCAGTTCACGAATCGAATGTATTAAAATATGAATTGAATATAATAAAAACAATAAGTAAATATATTAAATTATATGTTAGGCCAATTTCCATGGGCCTAACATACATACGTATTGATATATATATATATATATATATATATATATATATATATATATATATATATATATATATATATATATATATATATATATATATATATATATATATATATATATATATATATATATATATATATATATATATATATATATATATATATATATATATATATATATATATATATATATATATATATGAAAGAGAATTAATCTATGAACAAAATAAATCAAAACGTTCTTTAGTTATGACTAGGAGTGTTTAAACTATTTTTTTTATAGAATATAGAAATTTGTTTTTTATTTGTTTGTCTCTTCATTGACTACTCTTTAACCACAATAACTACAAATACCTATATTACATACATACATATATTACATATATATATATATATATATATATATATATATATATATATATATATATATATACATACATACATACATACATACATACATACATACATACATACATACATACATACATACATACATACATACATACATACATACATACATACATACATACATACATACATACATACATACATACATACATACATACATACATACATATATATATATATATATATATATATATATATATATATATATATATATATATATATATATATATATATATATATAATATGTAGGTTGATTTTTAAAAAAAGGCAGCGTTAAAATATATTATTGTTAATATATTTTTACATCTAAATATATTTAAAAAAAGTTATATGCTGTCTTTTTATTATAATCAACTCACATCAATGTAATTATGTATTGTGACTATAGAGTAGTCTAGCAACAGCTTACAAAAAGTTTATGTTAAAAAAATATCTTTTAATCTTGAAAAAAATTGAATACTAATATCAGGAAACATTCTGAGAAAGATCAACAGTTCATCTATCTGAAAAAGTAAAAATTTAAAAATTTCTACGCTCAAAATTTTTTTCAAACGATTTGAAAACAATAAACAAAACTCACTATAGTAGCTATTGCTGTAATTACATTTTATTCATTTTTAGAGGTTTTATATTTAATTTGAAACATTTTATCGTGTACTAGAAGTTACTTTTATTATAATTTCCTCTTTATAAACGGCTAAATGCATATTTAATAGCTAAAAATTTGAAAAGTAACTCGTTGTCAATGAGAATTTTTTTTATATTCGTTATCCGTAGCCGTTTTATATTCGTTATCCATTTTTAAAACTCTTAAAATATGCAAACTTTACTGCGCTTGCGTACAATAACCTTCCACTTATACTTTCCACTTAGTAAGTCTAAACGACCGTGTTGTAATTTTTTTATTGAATTATAAAGTACATAGTATAGAGTTATGGAAAAAGATATCGGGCAAATGTCCTCCACGGCTTTCCATACACAAACGTACTCGTTTTTCTAAATTTTCCATGACTATTTTGCTAAAATATGGCTGAATTCCGTTGATGTAACGCTGAATCTCCTCCTTTAAAACACGC